ATAGTTACTGGGAATTTACTGCTCATTGTCTCATCTAATCATTAAATCATAGCACCTCTGTTTCACAGCAGCGTCCAGAGATGCCATATGGCTCATCCAAGGTCACAGAGCAGGCTGATAGGGAAACAGGGACCTTAAGGCCAAAACTGTTTCTACCGCACATGGTACTTCAGCTGAGAGCTTGGGAAGCCTGCAACCTGGCTACACTAACAGTGAGACCACAAGGCACACCTGTCCTGGGCCTCTACCACCCTTCTAGCCTGGCCTTTGCTGCACTTTCCCCTTCCTCCACGCTACAGTGCACCCTTGGTCCTGACTCCCGGCTCCCTTTGCACCGAACACAGGGCAGATCATTTAAAAATATATACAATCCATGCATCAAAGCAAAATATAAAAGGCACAAAAGAACCTTCAGGGGAAACCCTCCTTCCTACCCAGTTCCCCAGCCACCTAGTTCCCTAAAGGCAACCATGGTTATGAGCTTCTTGTGTGGCCTTCCAAAAATATAACAGCTAGATAGGTATATATTGACCGATGTTGTTAGGTGCTGTCACCTTAATTCCAACTCAGAGTGACCCAGCATCTGACAGCACCTGCCTGATGCGGCACCCGGCACCCTGCTGTTTGATTGCTGCTCTGCTTGAACTGATTGCTGCAGCCGCTGGGTGGTCTCCTCCGCTGGTCTTCTTCCAAGGCTGCCCTACGAGAGACAGATTTTGTTGTTTTCAGATTGATTTTGTTGTTTGTAGGTTCTGTTACATTGATTTTTTGATGGTAGAACTGTGCTGTTTTCTAGGGCAGGGTCTTTATGGAAGTGGTCTCACCGGATCTCGCTCCCACAGAGCCTCTGCGTGAGTTCACACCCCCGGCTGCAGATTGGTAGCCAGGTGCTCACCCATTTCATACCCAGGGATCATGGGTAGGTTAGGTAGAGAATCTCCCTGCCAGAGAAATGGAAGCTTCTCTCACCGCACTATTCTGTCCCTTGTCCACTTTGCTTAGGACAGGTTCCACTTAGGACCAGAGCATTCTGCACAGCGCAGGCCTGCACTGTAATTTACTGAACCGGTCCCCTGTGGACAGACTCTTGGATTGTTTCCAGCCATTTGCAAGCAGCGCTGCAGTGTATAACCTTGTACATCTATCAGTTTCCTCAAATGGCTGGAGGGTAAATTCCTAGAAGTGGCTTTGCAGGGTGACGAGTGTGCGCCTCTAATTGTGAGAGACAAGACCAAGTTACCCTCCATCAAGGTTGTAGCAAATTACTTCACTGTGAGGCGTAGTTGACTCTACTGCTACGAGAAATGATGACTGAGTGACATGGCTGGGCTTTGACCTTGATTCTCAGGAGGGAATGCCCCCTCCCTCCACCCTCCAGACCTCACCAACTAGCCTGACAACTGTACTTTACAGAGATCCAAAAGGATCGAGTGTTTTTATGACTTCAAGGAAGGGACTTTGCTACTCGAGCCTTTTACTCCTCTGCAATGAATTTTTTCCCCTCATTTTATGTCAGCCTGCTTTTAATTAATTTTTTAAATAAAATTTTTCTTTTATACTGGCTAACTTAGAGTTTGCATACATTGTTATTTCACACTGAATCTGTCCCATTTCCTATATCCACCCCTCCCTCTGTCCATCAGATTGTGCAACCTTATGATTAGCTCCCTGCCCATCCTCAGCCCTCTGCATTTTAATTTAAAAACTTTTTTATGGGGAGCTCTGGTGGCCTAGTGGCAAGAAGCTGCACTGCAATCCCAGAGATAGGCAGTTCAAATCCACCAGATGCTCTGCCGGAGGAGGGGCAATCTCTTCCTGTACCAGTGTGATCTGATTTGACAGTACACACGAAAGAAATAATTTTTTAAAAATAATAATAAAAACTTTTTATGAAGCAGGGACTAGATGAGGCTATTCCTTGGAATGGAACATCATTCTTGGAAAGATGGAGGGTCAGTGAAGGAGAAAAAGATCCCAACAGGATGGATTGACAGGGTGACTTCAGCACTGGGCCCTAGTGTGTCAGAGATGATGAGGACGGCTCAGGATACAGTTGGCTATTCATAGGGTCATTATGTATCGGGGATCCAGCCCCGATATGTTGGGAGAATTCCGCCAAAAGGAGGCACCAGGTTGAAATGAAGATGCGGAGAGGCTAATTGCTGATGACAAATAGCAAGTTTAATATTTTGGCAAGGGTATATATACGCCTTAGGAACATGCCTGCAGGGGTAATTGCATTATCTCTTATCTGTCGAGATGTTGACTGGTAGATCAAACATTCCCAGACCTCAACATAAAACAAAGACATCTTCGGGATATCCTATGATATCTATTGGAGCAACAGTGTCTCTCTGGAGACTAAGGTGCGCCTGATACAGGCCATGGTATTTGCAATCGCTTGTTATGCATCAGAGAGTTGGACAATGACTAGGGAGGACAGAAGGAGAGTGGATGCTTTTGAGCTGTGGTGCTGGAGAAGGGTACTGAATGTACCATGGACTGCCAGGAAAACAAACAGATTCATCTTGGAGAGGATTAAACCAAACTGTTCCTTGGAGGCAAGGATTCTGGGGCTTCGTCTGACATACTTTGGACATGTTGCCAGGAGGGACGGGTCCTTGGAGAGGGACATCATGCTTGGGAGGGTGGAGGGACAGCGCAGGAGGGGAAGACCCTCTATGAGATGGATTGATTCGGTGACTGGGGTAATCGGGATGGGTGTGTCAGAGGCGGTGTGGTTGGCGCAGGATAGAGCAGGGTTTAGGGCTGTTGTGCATAAGGACTCGATGGATGGCACATAACAACAACAACATCTATTGGAAAACAAGAAGGTATCACACTCCTAGAAATCTGAGGCCTTTGGTCACCCCCTATTCATTAGCATACTGCTTCCTGGAGTTGTTTTCTGCAGAACAGATGGTCAAGCCAAGATAGGTGGTCATGCTGTTTTTACAAGTCTACAAGTCGTTGCTGCTCCTGCTTTGCAGGTTAGCTAGGCACTGACAATTATGAGTCATACTCAATGGCACCTAGCAATAACAACAACAACATCAACTCTTTTAATGAAAAGTACCAGACTCAGAAAGATAAAGGGAGCCCTGGTAACTTAGTGGTGAGGATTGGCTCTGTCAACCCAAAGGCTGGCATCCGAAGCGACCAGCTTCTCCATGGGAGAAAGATGGACAGTCTCCTCTCGTGTAATTTACTACCTTTAAAAATCCTTCTGGAGGATCAGCTGGGAGTCTGTTCTGACATGATGGTACACAACAAAAACAAGGGGAAAAAATCAGACTCATTTCTTTGTCCTTTGATGAACTCTGATCCACCCCCTGTCCACCCCCCAGGGGATGAGTTTATGGAAAGTGTAGGTCTCCTCAGAAGAAGAAAAATGTATTTCATTGCTTGAGAGGAGCAAGGCAACAACAGGGAGTTATTACTGCGGAAAACCCACAGCCCTGGACAGATGAGGAGACCGAGGACCAGGGAAGAGAGGGACATATTTTTCCAAAGAGCCTCCTGTGTTGGTGCCACTTGCATTGAGCTTAAGGACCAGCTGCTGGCAAAGAATGGAAGTCCCTGGGCCCCCAGGTTGAACTGAATCTTGAGAAGGCCAGTCCCTCCTTCTGTGTCCTCCTCGGGGAGTCCACAGTCCTTAGGCTGCAGTGCAGAAGTAGGCAGGCATGTTCTGGATCCTGGACCCGTGTGGAGATTGACAGCTTATGGTAGGGTCAGGCTCAGCCTGGATCCTGTCTCCTGACTACTCAGCCGTTCTGGCCGGAGGGGGCAGCAAGGCCTGGCTCAGGGAGGAGCAGAGGGAATGCCCACCCCAGCCCTGGGGCAGCACACGGCCTAGATTAAATGGCTGTGATGCCTGCCGACAGATCCAGGGCAGAGACGGCTATCCAGGCGTTCACACAGATCACCGCTGAGATGGTCTGACCTGTGGGCCAGGAGCCACATGTCCACACTCCCAGGAGACGAGTAAGCAGCTAATGGGGGCTTCTGGGATTGGGTACGAGGGCTGCCAGAGGGCATTCACAGGTTTCCAGCAGCTCTGAGTACTGATGAGTTACTGAACCTGGGTCAGAAGATGCAAGGGGCCCTGCTGCCAGCCATGGGCTCCAGGCGTGCTGGAGGAGGGCGAAGAAGAGGCTCGAGGGGCTGAGAGACCCAGGTGCTCTGTGCTGAGAGCTGGGTGTGGGGAGGAGAGCTTTCATATAAGGTTTGTCTAAACATAGGGTCGCTATGAGTCACAAGCAACTTGATGGCACATAACAACAACAAAAGATGAGGGTGGGCAGTTACTGAGGAGAAAACAGTCAGGGCGAGGGGACTCCCAACTCAGGGTCTGCATAACCCCACGAGCTGGGGTTGACTGAGTGCCTCTGGGATTCGGGTCCTGGAGAAGCAATACAGGACACGCACAGAGGAACCTGCCTGCCCGCTTTAGGGAGCTCTGTGTGCATTAGAGCAGCAAACCACTGATTTATCAAAAGCAAATATGCATTTGTGTGGCCCTGACTTTTTATTTTAAGGCCAAGCCTCTCAGAGAAAGTGCTGCCCTGGATGTGGCCTTTGACTGTTATTAGCTTCCAAGTGCATTATTTCTTTGTTGTTCCCCCCCCCGCCCCCTTTATCCTCTGGTTGTTAATTTCCAATTTTATAGCATTGTGGGCTGTGAAAATGCTTTCTAGTATTTAAATGTGTTTTGTTTTTTGTTTTTTTTTTAATTTACTGAGACTTGCTTTGTGACCTTAGTCACAGAGTATGAGAGCATGGGAGTGAGGAAGAAGGTACTTGTGGAGGAGAGATGGGAAATGGGAATGAGGGGTGCTTTAGGGTAAGTTTTGTGGTTACCCTAGAGTTGAGGAGCCACTTCCTGGGCAGGAAGCCCACTCCACTGCAACTTCATGTCCATGGAGCCTGAGTGTGGGACCCAGGCCTGGAATCGGGTATGTGGGCCATCTCATCTCACCTCCAGGATTTTTCTTTCTCTTCCCAGCGCATGAATAGTGGGGTCCACTGACTGCAGCTTTTCACCTGTCCATCCCCCCACGGCCCCACCATGTCCGGCTCCTATGATGAGGCCTCGCTAGCTGCAGAGGAGACCACTGACAGCTTCTGGGAGGTAAGATCTTGAAGCACTGCAGGATCAGGGACCAGACAGCCTGGCTGCATGGAGGTCACAACTTCTCACTAAGCTCCCCCCTGCACACACACTAACTCCAGGACCTCAGGCCTTGCTCCCTAACCCCTCTAGGTCCTTCAGAGCTCTTTGTACCCAGTAGACAGCTGGTACAACAAAATAGCATCAAACCACTGGCCGTTGAGCTCCCTGCCCCACAGCTGGCCCTGAAGAGAGCCTCTGCTATTTCCTCATGTGGGAACAAACCCTTCTGACCCTCTGCTCTGGGGCCTTCATTCAGACCCCTGGCCCTTCCCACAGATGTGAGCAGTGCTCCACGGTTTGCTTAGCCTGCCCTTCACAGCTGCCCCTCCCCCAGTCATGAGCAGTTCTCAAAAGACAGAGCTATAGGGTGAGTTCTGCAGCCCTGCAGCAACAAGGAGGTGGAGATAACATGAAAAGCCAGCGTTCCTGGGGTTGCCCAAAATATTTGAGACTGAGGGTGGGGAAAAATATATAAAATTTTTTATTGGCTCCAGAAACCCCAAATGGGAACTACCAGCCCCAAATTAATAAGTGTTTAATGAGATGTCTACAAAACATAATATTATGTCAAGTAACTGCAGCTCAACTCAACACTTCTATGGCTCTATATAAATATAATGTATTTAGCTCACAAGAACAAAATGAATTATTCATTCTAGCCCAAGTCCAAATTCTAAAAAGCATTGTGTGGCTTTGAGGAAGTTCTATTATTTTTTTTTTAGGAAGTTCTATTTAAATAGGATGAGGGTATGTACAGGATGGAGTCTGCTGCAGGGTACTGGGACTCTGAAAATTAGGGTGTCAGGCCAGTGACTTCCCTGAGGTTGATGTCACACACCCCCCTCCGCAAGGACCACCTCCTCTCATATCAGATCATAGAGAATCCTTAGGAAAGCTTATGATTAATTTCAATCATAGAAGGCTAGGTAATAAGTATAGTTTGAACTGCTTACATATATTACTTCTTAGATTATATGAATACTAACAGAATAATTTTATAAAATCTTTCTACATTGAATGGCATTATTATACATTATTAATAACCAAACAAAGGCTTTTAAGTTTCTCCTTCTTTAATTACTAGCTCCCTAGTTCATTCTTAAATAAAGTTATTGGTATAGATTCACAAACACTAATTACTACATTGTAACTAAAACACCAGAAAATTTGACAAAATCGGCTATGAAAAACACTGGCAGCAGTGAAAAAAACAAGGCCTGCTTGCAGCACAGACATCAAAACTGTGTGACAGGAAGTATCTCTGTAACTGGTTAATATGGCAGTACTCACTGGAGCATGCTCACTCACTCACTGTCTTTGAGTGAAAAATCAGCTCAGAGCTGACCCTCTTGTGGGTTTCTGAGGCTGTGAATCACACAGGAAGGGATTGTCCATCGTTCACCCAATGGAAAAGCTGGTGAATTCAAACCTCCAGAAAAGCATGGCCTTTGGGTTAGCAGCACAGCTCTCTACGGCCTAAGTCCCCAGAGTTCCCTGGCACGGCCTGTTGGTATAATGTGCTCTTGAGTGAGAACCAACTCATAGCTGACCCTGCAGTGGGTTTCAGAGACAGTAAATCACACAGGAGGATTTCTCTTCTTTCTCCTGGAGAGCTGCTGGCAAATTCAAACTGCTTTCCTCTGGGTTGGCAGAACGACTCCTTACCACTAGGCCACCAAGGGTTCCTTTGGAACAGTCTAAAAAAAAAAAAAAAGTTCTAAAAGTAAATAAGCATAGTTTTAGCTTGTAGGTCTGTTAGTACATGAAAGCTGGGCTTACCGAAAAAAAGATGTTTTGGTTATTATAACTAACAGCAGCAATATTGTTATTAAAAAAGAATACATTTCTGATGAAATACCACATTCATGATTAATAGTCATTTTGGTGTCACCCCCCCTGATAATGTCATCCCGTGGGATCTGTACCCCGCCCCTCAGGCCCATGGTTCTGCCCCTGGATCTGGTCACCAGGTTAGACAGTGAATGGAGGGGGGCCAGCTTGGATGGAGACGGCCTGGCTGCTGGGTGTGCGCGAGCGCCCCCTGCAGGACGCACTGGGCAGGCCGGGTCGGGGAGGCCGGGAGCCGGCGAGAGTCTCCCTCACTGCTTGGCCACCAGGTGGGGAACTACAAGCGGACAGTGAAGCGCATCGATGATGGTCACCGCCTGTGCAACGACCTGATGAGTTGCGTGCAGGAGCGCGCTAAGATCGAGAAGGCATATGCGCAGCAGCTCACTGACTGGGCCAAGCGCTGGCGCCAGCTCATCGAGAAAGGTACCACCAGCCCTCCTGAGGCCCTGCCCCACCGTCTCCGTCCTCGAGCACCTGGATACACTCTGAATCCTTCAATCAGAGAGGCCTTTGCTGGGGTTGTTTCCCCATAGTCAGCATTTCCCCCCTCCAAGACTCGGCTAGACTTCTCTGTCAACCTTGCTCTGTACGATGTTCTAATATTGGATTCAAAACAAAAAACCTTTTTATTTGGAGATAATTTAAATTTAGAGAAACGTTACAAGAATAACCGAGAACTAACTCCTACATACTCTTTGCCCAGAATCCCATTTGATTTGCCACTCCTATTTATGTGCTTATTTTTTCTGGCAAACCATTTGAAAATACATTGACAACATCATGCCCCTAAACCTCTCAGTTATTCATGTCTCCTAGAAGAACATTTGCTCACATAACGACATTTCTTTTCTCACATCCAGGACTTTTAATATCATCCAAATTTTGCTCTAGGAATCCTGCTGCTTCAGGACCACATGCATTTAATTACCATGTCTCTAATTTTCTGTCATTTAGAGCCCTTTTAAGTTTATGCAGATTTGTTAATGCTCTTTTTCTTCCATTAAACAACCCTGTGAGGGCAGGGGCTGGGTCCATACCCCCTAGCCTGGCCCTGAATGCAAAGTTGGTGCCTGCACACAGATAGACAAGTGGTGGCATCTGTCACTGGTTGATTCTTCAGTTTTGCATCCAGCTAGAATTCCTGGTGTTCTTCTTGCCTGCCTGGTGCCATGCTGGGCTTTCAGCACTCACTGGGTCCAAGCTGCACCTCTCTCACCCTATGGGATTAACTGGCTGGTGGGGGAGATCTGGGATTGTATGTACAGTATGCTGCAGGAGGGACCTAGTAAGAGCTGCAGCATGAGATATGTGACAGTGGAGCAGTCCAGGGAGGCTTCTTGGAGGAGGTGGCTGTGCATGGGCCTTGGAAGATGGATAAGACTATGCCCTGGAAAGGAAGAGGAAAGTCTCAGAACAAGTAGGCAGGAGGGTGCCTCTGAGTGTGGGGCCCGATGAGGACCCGCATGATCCTGTGGTCATTTCCTCAGGCCCACAGTATGGCAGCCTGGAGCGGGCCTGGGGTGCCATGATGACGGAGGCCGACAAGGTGAGCGAGCTGCACCAGGAGGTGAAGAACAACCTGCTCAATGAGGACCTGGAGAAGGTCAAGAACTGGCAGAAGGACGCCTATCACAAGCAGATCATGGGAGGCTTCAAGGAGACCAAGGAGGCTGAAGATGGCTTTCGAAAGGCGCAGAAGCCCTGGGCCAAGAAGATGAAGGAGGTGTGTGGTGGGTGCTGGCACGGATGGAGTGAGGTTGGGTGGTGGTGCCAATATAGAGGGAGTGTCTCTAGAGGGAGTGGGTACGACACTCCCCTCTGAGATTACATTGCTGAGGGCAGCAGTACTGCCCTCCAGGAAGAAGTACTCACAGACAAGGCAGAAAGAGCCAAATGAGGAGAGGGGGACTGTCCCCAGGAAATGTACTGCCTGCATATGGGTAAGGGGCATGACCTTCTGGATTCACAGATGGAGCAGGTACAGCACTGCCCCGTAGTTGCCCACAGAGGCCCCAGGCACTGTCTTAGGGAAGCTTCCGCCGATCCTGTAGGGACCTGCTCTCAAATGCCTTGAATCAGAACCTGTATAACTCCTGTCTTTAGAGTGTGTGATCCTGGCAGAGAAGGCAGATGGGGAGGGGCTGAGTGGCCTGTTCAGGAGTGAGAGAGCCTTGCTCCCCGGTTCCCCCTCTCCCCACAGTTGGAAGCAGCCAAGAAGGCCTACCATCTGGCCTGTAAAGAGGAGAAGCTGGCCATGACACGGGAGATGAACAGCAAGACAGAGCAGTCAGTCACACCTGAACAGCAGAAGAAGCTGCAGGACAAAGTGGATAAGTGCAAACAGGATGTGCAGAAGGTACTGGCTGGGTTAGGGGTTACAGTGGGCTGGGCTAGGGGTTACGGGGGGCTGGGCTCCAAGAGCCCTTTCCGGGGGATGGTGGCTGGGAGCTGTGGACCTGGGTCTTATTCTCCCTCCTTCTGGGTGCCTGTAGACACAAGAGAAGTATGAGAAGGTGTTAGAAGATGTGGGCAAGACCACACCCCAGTACATGGAAGGTATGGAGCAGGTGTTTGAACAGTGCCAGCAATTCGAGGAAAAGCGGCTGGTCTTCCTCAAGGAGGTGCTGCTGGACATCAAACGCCACCTCAACCTAGCAGAGAATAGCAGGTACCTGGGTGTGGCAGGCATGATGGGCACAGGGACAGCCAGCAGAGGGCGTAACTGGCACACAGGACAGTCCGGGCTCTGCATTCTAGTGACAGGAAAGGGAGGCCAGAGGGAAGAGGCTCCAAATATGATGTCTGCCTGGGTGTAAACTGACACGTACTAGGTACTCGGGAATACGCACTTGGGTGGGTGGGTGAGTGGCTAAGATGGCAGTGGGGAAGGTCGCTGTTGAGAAGCCATCTGCTCTGATCACCTGAACTGGCTCCTCACGGAGGACGAGGAGGGTCCTTAGTGACTCTGTGTCCCCACCTCCCCCCTTTCCCCTGCACACAGCTACATCCATGTGTACCGAGAGCTGGAGCAGGCCATCCGGGGAGCTGATGCTCAGGATGATCTCAGATGGTTCCGCAGTACCAGTGGCCCTGGCATGCCCATGAACTGGCCCCAGTTTGAGGTGAGGACATAGGGAGATGGGGAAGGGGCATCTGAAGAGGCTGATGTGAGCCTCAGGGTGCAGATACCCTATAGCCTGACTAGCCTCCTGTTCCTCCACCCCATCCCACCAGGAGTGGAACCCTGACCTGCCACACACAGCTGCCAAGAAGGAGAAACAGCCCAAGAAAGCAGAGGGGGTGACACTGACCAATGCCACTGGGGCAATGGAGTCTACATCTCAGGCTGGAGACCGTGGCAGGCAAGTGTCTACCACTGATGCTTCTGGGAGGCCAGAGTTGTTGTGTACCCTTGAATTTTCAGGGACTGTAAACAAAATGGGAGGAGATTGCCCATCTTTCTCCCATGGAGCAGCTTGTGGATTTGAACTATGTACCTTTGGGTTGGCAGGGTGATTCCTTACCACTAAGCTACCAGAGCCCCTTGGGGGCCAGAGAGCAGCTGAATTTAACCCCAGGAGACCCCTTTGAAACATAATGGAAGTTAATCCTTCTAGAATGCCTGCTATCTGTCAGGCATGATTCTGAGCATTTTTCACATGTTAACTCCTTTAAACCTTTTACTTATGTGAACACTGATGGGTCCTCCTTCTGCATCTTAAGTGTAAGCAGCTATGACAGAGGCCAGGCCTATGCCACCGAGTGGTCGGACGATGAGAGCGGGAACACTTTTGGGGGCAATGAGGCCAATGGGGGCGCCAACCCCTTTGAGGACGACGCCAAGGGAGTGCGCGTGCGGGCGCTGTACGACTATGACGGCCAAGAGCAGGACGAACTCAGCTTCAAGGCTGGTATGTGGACAAGGCAGGATGCACTGGTCACAGCTGAGGGAGAGGTGGCCCAGCACTTGAGGCTGGGTTGGACATGTGGCCCAAGAGGGGACCGGGTATGAGGTGAAGGATGTGAGGATTTGCAAATTTGAGCCTGGAAGCTGGACCTGGACGTGTAGGTGTAGCCGATACGTAGGTGGGGCCTGAGGGTGAGGCGTGCTGGCCAGCACCTGGGAACGTCATCAGGAGGTGACATCCTGATGACGTGTGTGACTGGGGTGAGGCTGGGATTTACATGTTGGGGGGGCACCAAGATGGGACTGGGGCTGGACGCTAGAATCAAGACCACAGGGTACTGAGAGCATGATGGGGGAGGAATTACTGGGGCCAGCCCTTCATATGGAAGGTCACCTAGCCGTGTGTGTGTGTGTGTGTGGTGTGTGTGTGTGTGTGTGTATGAGGAGACAGATCCCCCCTCTGAGGCCTGTCACGGAGCTTCCTATTTTATTCCTGTCCTAGGAGATGAGCTCACCAAGCTGGGTGAGGAGGATGAGCAGGGCTGGTGCCGCGGGCGGCTGGACAGCGGGCAGCTGGGCCTCTACCCGGCTAACTACGTGGAGGCCATCTAGCTTCCCCACCCCCTCTACGTTCCCCCTCATTCCTCGCCCACCCCCCTTCCTCCCCACTCTCGTCGCCCTCCCCTTGTCATAGAGTTCCAGACATATTTTCCGATCAAGCTTTTATTTTTTTAAAAGTCAAAACAGAACAACACACACACACACACACACACACACACAGAGACAGAAGCATTTGCAGGGCCTCTTGGAGGCCAGGTGGTAGGACTTGGGGTGGAGGCCCCAGGATAGGTGAGGGTCTTAAAACTTAGCCCTACAGTGACACCATGACATCATGTACTCCTCTTCAGATCCCACCAAAGAGTTTCCTGAGCTGAGGGATGTCTCTAGACCCTTCTACTCTGCCCAGCTCCCCCTCCCTACGTCACCCCAGGCTGCCAGCCCCTTGCTCCCCTTCTCTGGGCCTTGTTCCATAACTTTCCCTCCTGCCCCATCCTGTTCTCTCTCCATCACCCCTCTATTTTCAATTCTTTTCCTCAGGCCCCAGAGCAGGCGGCCTCCCAATCCGCTGTCTTCCACTCCGTCCGGGGAGTGCCTCTCCTGCCTTGCCCTGCTCTCCCACTTAGGGTGACCATGAAGTCTTGTGGGACCTCTGGGGCTGGAGGAGGAATGGCCGCTTTCCTCCCCATTGAGGTATCCAGGGGACTCGAGACTCCCTGAGGCATGAAAAGGGGTGAGTTGGAGGTGTCACTTGGGTGCCAGATAGTGTGTGGTGGGGAGCAGACCTGGGCTGTGCCAACCCTCCGGACTCCAGGCCCAGCTGAGGGACCAAGACTCTGGGTCTTTCTCTCTAGCTGTCAGCACTTTGCCCACTGGCTCTTCCTCAGAGCAATGCTCCCTCAGTAACTTGCAGAGACCCCTGCCCCAACTCAGGCAAGGAGTAGGGGCCCCCAAAGCCACCCAGAGGAAGGCCAGTTATGGTACCAGTCTCCTTCCATTTCCTGGGAAGGAGGACTTCTTGCCCGTCCACCTTCTCTCCATGTCCACTTCCCGACCCTCTGTGTCTGCAGGGCCTTTGGCCTTCCACCTCTCTCTCCCTCACCCTGGCCTGAGGAGACACTGTGAGATGCTTCCATGCTGGGACTGTGAGGGGAAGGCAGGTGTTTGGCAAGAGAGAGGAGCTCTGGCCATCAGGGTCAGGACAGTCACTGTCTTTTTCTTCCTTGTGGTCCTCACACCAGGAAAAGCCACCCTTGTGCTGGCAGCCCCTGTGCTCACTAAGACCAACAGTTAAGACTTAGGGGTGGGGGAGGGAGAAGGGTTTGCCCAGCGCAGGGAGCAGGCAGAGGTGCTCGAGTCCAAGGTGCCAGCCTCTCCCTCAGGAGTTAGAGGGGTGGGGGACTTGGGAATCAGCCCGAGGCAGAACAAGACCCCAAGAGGTAGAGGAGTGATGGGAAAAGGGGTCTCCTGAGTACCTCTGGAATGAGGACCTGAGACTTCCTGCAGCATCTGATCAAACTTGCTCTTGACTGACCTCCTAAGCATCAGGTAAAGAGTGAGATACCCCAGCCCCTCCATCACCGCCAGACCTCTCTCTTTCCTGGCTTATTCTCTCCAGCAGCCCACTGTTAGGAGGTAGAGACCCCACCTCAAGGTTCTGACCCTTTTCATGTGGGCATAGGAGGATCCTGGGAGATTCAGGTAGGCTTTCCTCAGGGCACGGGCAGGGGAGAGATAGCACCCCCGAGACTTCCCCTACCCTCCTCATCCCCAGTGTACCCTTCCCTGGCACTCTTCACTTTCCTGGTCTCTGCTGCACCTTGAGCGGGGCCACAGGCCCTCAGAGCCGAAGAAGATTCTGGAAGCCTTCAGCCCGGGCTGTGCCAGCCCTCTCAGCTCCAGAACAAAAGCCTCTTCAGCTTCTCTCTGAGGCAGGAGTTGGGGCTAGGGCCTCCATTCTTCACCACAAACCCTTGAAAGGCTGGAAGCCGGGCACATCTGCACCTTGGGGCCTGGGCTCCCCCTTCAGTGCCACGACTTCCCGGTGCCTGGGGAGGGGCTGCAGCCCTTATTATACCCCAGGCCTGTACTCTTAGCTGCCCACTCTGGGGCAAGGACTCGAAACTCCCTCCCTTCTAAGTAACCTTCTCTATGGCCCCATCAGGGACACCCTCTCTTGGTCTCCAAGCTCCTCAGAACCCTGGAGCAGGAGGGAAGTTCTCCCCAGAAGCCCCCTGAGCTCTGGGGGCCCAGCCCCACCTGTCAGTGCTGGTGTCAGAGCACCCATCACCCAGTGTGGGGGTGCAGCCCCTGTGTGCCCATGGCCTCCTACTGTAGCCCCTGCCCGCACCCTCAATGCTGCATGGGCCCGCCCCGGCAGGGTTCAGCGAGTCATGTGTTTTCCCCCCCTCCCCTGTTAACCACTGTTCTGTGGCCTGGTTCCTCCAGGAGCCAGGGCTGCCCCGCCACCCGCCACCTGCCACCCTAGGCTTCCTGGCTCCATTAGTTCCGACACTCGTGAGTCTCCGAGAAGTGCTGTGGTCTCAGCAATGCACCTGTTTTGTACATGATTGTGTAATTTAAAGGTATATAAATATAAATATATATATATATAAAGTTGTGATCGTATGACTGTGGATAAAATCCAGAACTGTGTCAATCTGGCTGGACTTTGTCATCTTGAGTCTTGTGCGTCTTCAGCCCTAAGAGTTTCTGTGCCTTCTGGGAGCAGCCTGTGGCTGGGATGTCTGTTGGGGAGCAGGCACTGTTCTAGCTGAGCCCCCCTGGCCTGGGTGACCCAGGACAGGCCCTATTGCCTCCCAGTCTTGTCTGTATAGGAAAGGATTCTACCTGGGACTCCTGCAGCTCTGACTGTGCAGTTCTGGGTACCCAGGTGCCAAGTTGACAACCTCCCCCCCCCCAAGTATGTTTTCCTTTTTAAAGCAAAATCTTACAATTGATTCCTGAGCCATGTAGTTCCTGGTTGCCCACTACTAGGCCCCTGAAATATGACATCCAGCCACACCATGCCTTCTGTGCCCTGCCTGACCTCTAAAGCATTTCTTTGTGGCCACTGGGAGGATGAAATGTACCCCTCGCCCTGTCTCATTGCACAGACTGTTGCACTTGGTTCTAAGGAGCCCTGGATGCTGGAGTCCAATGCAGGGCAGGTAAGATTCTGGTGAGGTGGTGCAGAAGAGGAATTCAGTTTCTTGGCAGCATATGAGGTGTTGATGGCTAGGCATGTGCTCAGCGAGGGGACATGACATGCCAAGGGGACATGTGCAACAGATCTGCTCACCAGGCGGCCAGCATCCCTGAGTCCCCATAACTGAAGCTTTGGGGTAGCTCCAGCAATAGCTCCAGACTCCTAATTTCCTGCCCTCTTCCCTCCCAGCCCCTTCACGGATCTAAGGCCTCTCCTGGCCCAGCTGGGGACGTGCAGACGGGTGGCCCCAGGGACTCAGTTGGAGGCAGGGCTGGTAGGCTGGAGACAAAACCAGTTCAGCAGAGCTATGCCAGGGTCTGGCTTGGGTCCAGTTCGCCCCCTCCCTGGGGTGAGCAGACATGGAGACAGGCCTGGGGCAGGGCCCCCTCCCCTCCTGTCCAGTCCCACTAACAGATGCCAAGGTGCTGTTTGCTCACTGCCAGGAGTAAACTTTCTTCTGGAGACAATAAAATTGCTGGAGGCAGAAGAAACAGCACTGGACAGAGATTAACCCTTGGTGGTCTGAGGCACAGGCCCTCCCTTCTGTCTCCTAGACACCCGTCCTCCAATGTCCAGGGCTGTGGATGAAGAGTTACTGTCCAGTCACCAAGGAGGAAGTATGAAGGGGCAGAGACTGTTCTGTGTGGGGAGAGAGACCGAAGAAGGTTCATTTCTATTCCTGGTTTTGCCACCAATTGGCTGTGTGTCTGTAAGACAGTAAACTCTTTCCGGCTCAGTTTCATAATCCACAAAATGGAGGAGTAAACCCTACCTCGTGGTTTTCGTTGGAATGACAAAAGAGCCATGGAAGCATCTGGCACATAGTAGGCCCTCAGGACATGTGTGTTGCTCGATAAGTTCCTGGTGACTGTCAGGGAGAAGGAATCTAAGCCCGAGGTGCTGTGCCTGGGAGAGTGGGCGGTGGGCTCCTTCCTCGCCGCCTGCCCTCATCACATGCTCATACCTCCCACCCCACACAGGCCTCAAGGCTTCAGAAACGGCACTGCGGAGGCCTCAACCTTTCTTCCACACTGGCCCGTTCCACCCACCCCCGCCCTCCTGGAAGTGCCACCACCTCAGGGCCCAGCGCCCTTGTTTTACAAGAAGAGACTGACACCTCAAAGGTGGTTAGTCCCTTGCCCCCAAGGCAGAAAGCCTTGACCTCCAGCAGAGCAAAAGGAGGTAGACTCTTCAATCCTAAATATTGGACCTCTTCAGGCCTAGACCTTCTTCTTCAAACTAAGGGGTCTAGTCCCATCTTAACCTTGAAGACTCACTGTCACTCTTCTTCAAGCTCCTAATAATTAACTGTTCTTTTCAGTTCAAGCTCAACTCCTCCAGGCAGCCTCTCTGGAGTACTCCAGGCCTCTGTGTACCACTTTTGATCACTGATGGTCTTTGGCTCTGTCATTCGCAGCACGGAAACTGGAGGCAGATGTATCAATTCACTTGTATTTTTTATTATCTATTCATGGGGCACCCCAAGCTCCCCAGCTCAAGGGTGCAAACTTTCTCCTGGCATCATGCCAGGTGGGTACAGAATGGATAGCAGTAGGATGTTGAAGAGAAAGCACTGGACAGTAAGTCAGGAGACCTGGCATGGCCACTCACTTAGGCCTGAGTGACCTGGCCCAGGTCACTGCCATCCTATGGGTTTTTGGCTCTGTTCGGGCAATTCTGGGTCAGAGGTGGAAGCTGGAGGGATGTCCTTCCCTGTAGAGCAGTGAACACTGAGAACAGCCATGGCTGTCCCATCCTCCATGGGGCACCCAGCATCCAGTCAGTCAGGCCTGAGGTGGAAGCACGCTAACCCCAGAGGCGCTGGCTCCAGAGAGCTTTCCCACACCCCTGGGAGAGTGGGCTGCATCCCTCGCCCCAGACAGTCTGTCAGCGGAGCACTCTCTCCATCCCTGCTCAGGGTCTGGCAGGAAAGAGGCCTGGCAGGGACCCTGGGCCTGCCCTCAGCCCTCAGATGGGATGCACAAACTGGTAGACCAGGCGCTGGGAGATATCCGGTTTCCGGATGATGCCCTTCTTGTAATACTGGCGGATGGAGCGGCTCAGTTTGTCGTAGTTCATGGCAGGACGGTTCTTACGGATGCCCCACAGCCGGGCCACCTGGGCTGAGTCCTCAATTTTGAAGATGCCTTTAGGAGCAGGAAGGTTCAAAGGGAGCCGGCAGCACAAGCGGGCAGGAGGGAGAAAGACAGAGGTCAGCAAGTCATCCTCGTGAGAACCAAGGCCACCAATGCTGGAGCTCTTTCTGCAGGGGCCAGGCGTTGGGATGGGTGTGAGGCAAAGTGGCCACACTTCTCCTCGGGGACATCCTGCCATCATGATCTAATGTCATGAATTGGATTGTGCCCTCCCCCCAGTATATGTTGTAAGCACTATGACCATTATTATAATCCCACTTGGAAAGAATTTGTCTTTCTTATGCTAATAAGACAGCATTAGTGTAGAGTATATCTTGACTCAATCTCTTTTGAGATATAAAAGAGATTAAACACAAGCTAGAGAAAAGATAGGGTAAGATAGATGTGAGGCACATCTATCTCTAAAGAGCCAGGAAACGGAAGGTTAAAACACAAAGGCCTTTCCTCACAGCTGTCAGAGGGAGCATTCCTCTAGAACTGGCATTTGGACTGTAAAAAGTAACTTCTGTTAAAGCCACCCACTTAGGGTACTTCTGTTACAGCAACATTAGGGAGCAAAGACACCTTGGGTTCTCTGAGACCTTGAAGCATCATGCCCATGCCTTTCTGCCCCTGCCCAGGCAGGCCCTCACCATTTGGCCCAGAAGCCACTGGGCCAGTTGACTAGCAAGGTTTGTGCCCCATCTTTGCCCTCTTTAAACCAGATAGTGGCTGTGTGGCACGCACTACAGTGCCATCTCTGGGCCCAGACTGTCTGGGCTTGAGGCCAGATTCTCTGGGGTATGACCTTTGGACAAATGAGTTAATCTTGCTGAACATCTACTTTCCAATCTGTAAAATGGGAATGATAATACCTACCCCCATGGTTGTGCAGGGAATAGAGAAATGTGTGTAAAGCAAGCACCAGAGGTTTCAATAAATGATAGAAACATTACAGCATCACAGACCTCCCAGGATCACAAACCTGGGAGCCCAGGGGAGGGTCACCATGAGGCCGAGCACTATGAGCAGAGAGTTTCGTGGTTCTTAGGTTTTGGGTTCTAGGTTGCTAGTCCAAGGCAGGTCGTTCGAAATCACCAGTGCTCCTCAGAGAAAAATAAGTCATTTCCTCCCGTGTGATTTACAGCCAATGAAAATCCACTGGAGAGTCAAGCTATGAGCCAGTTCTGACTCAACAGCACCTAACAACAGGATTGCTTTGAGTTGGGAGTGACTTAATGGCAGGGGCTATTTTGGAGGAGTGGAAGTTAAGCGGATGTTAATGTGTTTGGTTGCTAGTAAAACTAGGAATGTGGAGTCCACCCAGAGATGCTGTGAAGGAAAGGCCTGGCAGTGGGTCTCAGAGACAACAGCAGCACCTTGAAGTGGGCCTGACAGTGGACCTTGAAGACCCCCATCATTCTACTCTGACACCTGGGGCTGCTACCGATCAACCTGACAGGAGCAGATTTTATGTACTGGGTGCTGTTGGCTGCTGAGGATCTAAAACTAGGTGGAGACAGATACGGGCACAGTTGCACACAGACCCTGGTGGGAGGGATGGTGTCTGGTCACTGTGGCATGGTGGAGGAGAGGAGGGAGTTGGCCTCTGCCTTGCTCCCCAGCTTCAGGCCCCTCTGTTTCCTTGTTCTCATTGTTCTCCCCAATCTACCAGTCCTCCCTGTAGACACCCTGCTCACCCTTCTCCTTGTTCAGCCACCGGATGAAGCGGCCGTAGCTGTGGGGCTTCAAGAGCAGTTCTTTGAGGAACTGCCACAGGTGGATGGGCTGCCCGGGGCACGAGGAGTCCACCTCGCTGTCTGTCCAGCTCTCCTCACTGGCTGAAGCTGGGCAGCAGGAGAGTGGAAGTAAGTGGGGAGCTGTGGGGAGCCATGGCTAGCCCCAGCCCCTCACCCGCTCCTGACCCCATCTCAGGCTCACCACAGTAGTGGATCCCCCCGGGCGAGGTCCTCTCCTTCATCCAGGCCGCTGTGGGTAAAAAAAGAGAGGTTAGGGGCCTGGCGCAACTCTATCAAGTCTGCATTTGTGAGAGACTACAGATATGTCTTGGGAAAAGTGCAGCCAGACTGCTCCTTGGAGGCAAGAAGGACAAAGCCTCATCGCTCACACTTGGGGCATGTTGCTAGGAGGGCCTATTCCTTGGAGGCAGCATCACTCTTGGGAAGGTGAAGAGCAAAAGAGAGGAAGACCCTCAATGGGATGGATAAAGAACAGGGCCTGCAGCAATTGGCTCTAGTGTGTCAGAGGTGGCACAGGACAGGACTGAAGTCTGTTGTCCATCGGTCGCCATGAGTTGTACTAGACTCAATGGCACCTAACAACAAGAGGGCCACGGAAGCGTCTGTGGCGGGGGCTTGTCCTTACAGCTTCCTCCTTTCTGGTCTGAGAAGGAAAGTTATTTACAAAGAGCTGCTTCCAGGAAGAAAATGCTAGGATTTTGGAGCGAGGAGGAGGAGTCTTAGAGATCCTGCATGCCATCTCCATTGTCCAGATTGAGCCTTGCTGGGTTTCCCATTCCTCACCTAGGATGCAGTTCACACTTCACAGATGAGGTCTCAAGGTGGTTAAGTCCACCCAGCACCTTGCTCAGTATTTTGCATAATAAAAGCGGCTCCCTGCCCTCCACTGCCGAGTTCACCAAGCTCCTCCAGTCTTTGCTGCTCTCTACAGGTCTACCAGCTGTGGGGTCCCCGTGTCCATTCAGTGGGGAGGCAGCTCTGGAGGGGCAGTGATGCAGCACCTGCTCTGCCCACGTTGCCACGGGCTCTGGGCCTGGCACTGACCACCACCTGGGCTGCTGGACTGGGCAGGACACGGGTCTCTGACTAGATGGCACCAGTGGGCCTGTCTCTTTATCTTGGGTCCCTTGGGGCAGAAGCCTTGACTCACTGAGCCAGCATGGTCTCCCCCAAAGCATCGTGTGGTGCCTGGAGGATCTAGAAGATTTCAACACTGGAAGTTAGTGCCAACCATCTGAGCTCGTGGTGGTGTGGTGGTTAAAGTGTTTGTTAAAGGTGGTGGTGTTGTATACCATACAGTCGGAAGTGACCCATAGCTGGCCCTCCAGCGGGTTTTCAGAGGCAGTAATTGCCAACAGGAAACTGCCCATCCTTCTCCCGCAGAGCAGCTGGTGGCTTTGAACTATGTGCCTTAAGGATTGTAGCACAACTTCTTGCCACAAGGCCACCAGGGCTCCCTAACTAAAAGGTAGCTACTTCAAACCCACCAGCTATTCTGAGGGACAGAGATGTGGTAGTCTAATTCTGTAAAGATTGTGTTACCTGAAAAACTCCCCATGAAGCAGTTCTACTCAGTCACGATGGACGTGGGCTTTTGGTTTTATACATGATGCTCCAGATAATACCCAAGTCATGCTGCCAAGTGCAGTATGCACACACTGGTACAGAACTTAAACAATATTCAAACTCATTGCCACTGAGTCAGAACCGACTCCTAGCTCACCCTCCAGCGGGGTTTCAGAGGCAGTAAATCACACAGGAGAGGCTGACCATCCTCCCGCACAGAAGCTGATCGATTCAAACTGCCAGGCAGGTGCCACATTTGTATTGTTGTTGTTAGGTGCCATTGAGTTGAGTATGACTCCTAGAACATTATGAACAATATATCTGAACCCTGTCCTGTCCCTGTGCCATCCTCACACTTCCTGACACACTAGAACCCGTTGCGGCAGTCACTTTGCCAATCCACCTGGCTGAGGGTCTTCCTCTCCTTCATCGACCCTCCACCCTTCCCAGCATCATGTCCCTCTTCAAGGAATAGCCCCTGCTAGCAACACATTTGGATTAGTAGACACAGTTCTCTAACCACTGTACCATGTATATATTTTTTAAATGTATATATTGATTGATTCCTATCCTGCAACTCAAAGCCACCAGCTGCACAACAGAATAAGCAGTTCCACCCTCACACTCCCGGCTGTGCTTGAGGCTTCATAGCCACTGGGTCATGTCATCTCTGTGCATCTGCCTCTTTGGTAAATCGATCTATAAAGCCCTGGTGCTGCAATGACAAAACGCTTAGCTGCTAACAGAAAGGTTGGTAATTCAAACCCACTAGTGTGAGTCTGAGGGAGAAAAGACCTGGTGCTCTGCTCCCGTAAAGATTTCAGCCAGGATCTGTTCACAATAACAAGGAGTTGGAAACAACCCAGGTGCCCATCAACAAACGAATGGATAGAGAAGCTGTGGTATATTCACGCAATGGAATACTATGCTGCATTGAAAAACAAGGAACTCATGCAATATTATTCAAAATGGGTGAGCCTGGAGGACATTATGCTGAGTGAAATATCTCAGATGCAAAAGGACAAATACTGCATGGTGTCACTGTTGTAAAATGGGACTGATATCAGGGTTGGGGTAAGACTGAGAAAAACTGTATAAATTGTGTATACTGCACTGAAACAGATGAGGGAGTGAATAATTTAAAAGCGATGTATGATAGGGTCTTGTATAATAGGGTCTTATGGTTATCACAAGAGTCCACAATTAAGGTTACATAGTGGAATGTACTTGGGGCGGTGGGAGGGGTGCGGGGGGTATTGTGTACCAGGAAGGAAGTCTTTCTTTTACTTTTGAAAGAAAGGAGCAAACTGGGGTGGGGGATAGACGGGAGAGAAGTGCAGCAATGAATGAATGGAAATCCAAAATCTCTGTAAATGCTCATTAAAATTATTTAAAAAAAGCAATAAAAAAATAAATTGGAACTAAAAAAAAATATTTCAGCCAGGAGACCCTTCTGGGCAGCTCTGCTCTGTCCTATAAGTCCATAGTGACTTGGATTTGACCTCAGGACATACAATACAATGGCATGTATGTACATAGACTATTTGTAGACTTACTCTGGAAAGCTACCTAAGAAACTGATCATAGTGGTTTCGTCCTTCTCTCTCAAAGCCACTGGTGGATTTGAACGCTAACCTTTTGCTTAACAGACAAGCACTTTAACCACTGTACCATCAGCACATGTACAGTTACTCCTGAGGAGGAGGATTAGCAGGCTGAGGGCCTGGAGTTATAAGAAGTATTAATTTCATAGTAAACTATTTTTTCACTTAAAAAAAAGCATATATTTATTACTGCATTACATTTTGAAGCAAAACAACACACACACCCCAAATATAAAATAAAAAAACACGAGGGAGAAGCAGCATCACTTGAAAGCACCCAAGGTTGCCCTCATCTCTGACACTCCATGTTCTCACGGCCTAACCTTTCAATAACCCACGTGCTCTACAGTCCTGCTGGTGTGACCAGGACCCGGTGTGGAACGGAACAGGTGGGCTCACCCGGGATCCAGGGAGGCTGCTGCAATTGGTTTTGAGAGTAGTAATGGAGCCCTGATTAGGGTCCAGAGGGGCACTTCCCTGGGTGAAAGAACCCTCTCAGTCTGCATCCTGGGCTGATGTCCCCTCAGTGTCCCTGTCTTGGAGTCCTGAGGGGAGGCTCCCTCAACACCGGGCTCACCTGACTTCCAGATGTCCAGGTGGGCGTGCAGCACATCTCCACCGAGGGGCGAGCGCTGGCGGAACTGCTCCTCAGACATAGCGCATAACTCCTTGCCCCCCAACTCCTGGAAGGCCTTGCCCACAGGAGGCAGCCGGTACTGGTGTTCTGTCCACAGGAGCCACTTCTGCACGTTGCCAGGGCTCCAATCCACGGGATCTAGGCAATAGACACCCCCTCAGCTCCAGCAGCTGTGCAAGGGCAGCACCCCAAATAGGGCCCACTCTTCTGATGGGCACTTGTGGGGGCTTGTGGTCCAGGATTGGGTCATGCCCTCCTCAAGGTAGGAACGGGCCAAGCTTAGACAGGGCCTGGACCAGTCTGAGAGCAGCCTGAGGTCTGAGGATCTGGGAAGAGGGGAGCCTGAGAAGAAAAGATAGTAAGAAGAAGCCAGGCCCCTGAAAACAGCCATGCCTTAGAGCAAAGCTGCCTGAGGCCTCTCTACCGCCCACTCTCCCAGAGTCCCGGTCTTCCTAGGGAATCCATTCCCTCTTAGAGCCTTCTGGGGGGCCTAAGCCTCGAGGTTTAGTGTTAAGGAGTTGTGCTGACAAACCAAAGGCCTGCAGTTTGAATCCACCAGTGGCTCAGTGGGAGAAAGATGGACAATGTCCTTCTATGGAATTTACAACCTCTGAAAACCAGCTGGAGGGTCAGCTGTGAATCGGTTCTGACTTGATGGCATGGAACATTTCTGGAAGGGCAGGGACACCACGGTAAGCTGCTCTCCAAATGTCTCTTGCCCTCCCCAAGCTCTTAAAAAAAAAACACAACCAGGGGAGCTCTGGTGGCCTAGTGGCAAGAAGCTGTACTGCAATCCCAAAGGTACACGGTTCGAATCCACCAGATGCTTTGCCGGGGAAGGAGGGACAATTTCCTCCTGTACCAGTCAGATCTGATTTGACGGTACATGCACAAGAAATAATAAAATTAAAAAAATTAAAAACAACAAAACACACAACCAATGGAATACTATGCTGCATTGAAAAACAAGGAACTCATGCAATATTATTCAAAATGGCTGGCCCTGGAGGACATTATACTGAGTGAAATATCTCAGTCACAAAAGGACAAATTCTGCATAGTGTCACTGTTGTAGAACGGGGCTGACATCAGGGTTGGGGTGAGACTGAGAATAATTGGATAAATTATGTATACTACATTGAAACAGATGAGGGAGAGAACAGTTTAAAAGTGATATATGATTGGGTATTATGGTTATGACAAGAGTCCAGGATGAAGGTTACATAGTGGAGTTTACTCGGGGCCGCAGTGGTGGTGGTGGTGCTGTATACCAATGAACAAATTTTTCTTTTTCCTTTCAAAAAGAAGAGCAAACTAGGGGGGAGGGGTGGGCAGGGAGAAAAATGTAACAATGAATGAATGGAAATCCAAAATCTCCTTAACTGTTCACTAAAATTAATAAAATAAAAACACAACCAAGAATTAGAACTACAACTACCAAACCCCTACAACCACTTGCACTTTACAGGTGGGGCCTGTTGTGTAACATGGAGAAGGCGGCTGAGCACAAGGCCGCTGCCCAGCACACAGGTGAGAAATACATGAACAGCAGGACACAGGGGAGTGGGGGGCAGCCTCAGGCCTCAGGGGCAGGAGGGGACCCTGGCTCAGTTCTAGACACCTCCTGGGGAACTGCTCTGAGTGAGCCTGGCAGGGGAAAGGCTGGGGGCCACACTGGTGGGCAGAGGCACAATAGGGCCTCCCAGCAAACTTTGTGGTCTCAGACGGTGCCCCAACCGAAGGACCTGCTGGTTGACCTGCCTCCACTTAATAAGCCCATTTTCCTTCCTAAGGTCAGAGCAATTTGTTCCTACCCTCATTGTTCAAGGAGCAGGTGCCTCCCAGCCCAGAGTGGGGGATGAGAGCTCATGGGAAGTGTTCTGGGGAGTAGGGCTGGCATGGGGATTGGGAATCTGAAACAGAAGAACCAACTTGAGTGGGGGCGCAGCCCAGATGAGACGATGGAGAAGGAGCTGAGGCTGGTGTGTGTAGGAGGGTCTGTGAAGACCCATGTAAAAGTAGTGCAGAAAGTGAGATGGTCAGAGGCACACAGAGGGGAACCAGGCCTCCCCAAAGCTGGAAAGATGGTGGGGGCAGGGGCTGAAAGCCAGTTCCACAACCACACCTTCAGGCCAGGTGGTCACACACATGGTTGGCCCCCTGACATCCCCACCCCACTGAGGTCCATGTTATCACCCAGCCCGGCTGCATCCATCTACGTGTGTTCCCTCCACTGTAACGCACGATTTCTGCGCTGAGTTTGCACTCCATTCATTGCCCAGTTCTAGGACAGTGCTCGGCACATAAGAGGTGCTTGTTGCTGATGTCATCTGACAACCATTTATGGAGTATCTGCTATGTGCAAGGTGCTCTTCTAGGAACCAGGGATGAGGCAGGGAACAAAACAAAGGAAAATCTGCGCCCTTGTGGAGTGTACATTTCAGAGGGTGAGACAGACGGTAAAGGAGATAAAGCGTGCCAGGCAGTGATAAGTACAGGGAGACGAATGCAGTGAGAGGAGGAACAAGAGGTCCTGCGGCAGCAATATCAACAGAGGCCTCAGGGAAGGTCTTGTTGAGATGCTGAGTCAAGAGCTGGAGGAGGTGAGGGGTGAGCCAAGTAGAGGAGGGACTGGGACGGGAGTGTCCTAGAAACAGCAAAGGGACTGAGTGACAGTTTCCAGGCTGAGGGGCCAGCAGGTGCAAAGGTCCTGGGGTGGGCGTTCTGGGAACAGCAGCAAGACCAGTGTGGCTGGAGCAGTGTGAACACAGGGAGAGCAGAGACATGAGCAAGAGGAGGCTGTGGGTCAGTGTGAGGCTTGAGTTCACTCCGTCCTGCAGGGAAACCAGTTAAGTCTGGATGGGGCACCGAGACCGGTCAGAGGCTCCCTGTCCTGGCTGACAGCTCATGTGTGTCACAGGCAGATGGTGTGTGTAGACGTACATCCCTGGGGCTGCCCAAGGCGGCTCCCCCACCCACCCTGGGACCTCAGCTGTGCCTGGCGCCCCTTGGGGAGGCCGGCACGTGGGGGACTCACCTGCGGTGATGTTGAGCAGCTTGCAGGCGGTCTCGATGTCCTTGAGCACCTCGCCCACCACCATGGACTGCACCTGTTCCAGCGAGTGCTCTTCCAGCATCAGCCCGCCGGGTGCCAAGTCCAGGCTGCCCCCCGGGGCCTGGCTGTCGATGACTGGGCACTGCTCAGGCTCCTCGGGCGGCTCCTCCCGAGCGCTGGCCCCGGGGCCCTTGGCTGCCCAGGCGCCGTCCTCGGGGTACAGCATGTCGAAGTAGGAGAGGTAGAAGGCGGACAGGCCCTGCTCGGGCGTGGCGGGTGGGCTGGGGCTCCAGTCCCGTCTCTCGGGCGCCGTCAGCCCAGCTGCCTTGTCCAGGCCTGTGCGCGGCGCGGCTTCGGAGGGCAGCAGGAGGCGGCCGGGGGCCACGCCGCTCAGGCCCGGGCTGGCGCTGCCCATGCCGCTGCTGCCGGCGGCTGCGTCTGTGCAAGTGAACAGGGAGGAGGGTCAGCCTCGCCGCCTCCCCATCCCCGTGGGGACCGCTAAGCTGGTTACGGGGATGAGAGGCCCAGTGGGCAGGGTCCAGGCTGGAGAGAGAGGCAGGGGCTTCCGGGTCACTGGGCAGCGGGGCCGGGGCTGGGTTGACAGGGAGAGCAGTGAGCAGGCTGGGCAAGGGGATAAAGGAAAGCCAGCACCGCTGGGAGAAGCACATCTTCAGGCTGGAAGGAGCGCCCTCGGGGGGGGGGGGGGGGGGCGGACTGGGCCTCAGTCCCACAGTGGCAGGCGTGCTTAGACCCACTTGGCAGATGGGCAAACTGAGGCTTAGCAAAGGAGGTCTTGATAGATTTGTTCCCGAGCCAGCACATGACCTACTGTCATGGGAAGGAAGCGTTCCTTCTGAGGGGTGACACACTCCTTCTCTGCTTCAGCAGTCTGCTTTCTTTTATTCTACCCTTGACGTGGCTGGGGCAGCAGCAGCCTGAAGACCCCCAGCATCCTCACCCCCCAGGTTAAGGGAGAGAACAAGCATGGGGGAGGGTGATGCCCCTTCCACACAGTTTGGGGGATGTGAACAAATTCAGTGCATTACGCCTGAGGTGGTCAGTGAGCAAAACCCACAGGCTTGTGCACCTCTGGTCACTTTTGCCTTCTGCCTTGGGAGCCCGGTGCCGGCCCCCTTCTTCCTCTGAGAGGCGTTGCCCCTGGCCCATCCTGGCTCCCAGGCCCTCTACGCCTCCCTCAAGTTCTGGAGGAATGTGAGGCTGCCTGGAGATGGTGCCCACATGCTGACCTGCAGGCTGGCACGTAGGGCAAGCAAGAGGTGAAGAGAAGGCCTCCCCTGCAGGGGATGAGTGAGAGGCTCAGTCACTGACTCCTCATGTTGCCCACAAGGGTCCTGGGAGGTGCCTGGTGGCCTGACACATGAGCAACTAGGGCGTCCACTCTGCTTTGGACACCCAGGCCCTTTCCTGTGAACCTCAGGTCACAGCGTGTGGTCTGGGTGAGGCTGAAGAATGAGAATTGTGCATACACTGAAATGCTGAGGCTTCTGAGAGAGTTCAGTCATCTGTGGGCTTGAGATTCAGTGATAAGTCAGGGCTGGAAGCCAGGGTGAGATGGCGGACAGGCAACCCACAGATCTGCACCCCTGATCACACACAGAACCATTCAGAAAGGAGGACAGGATCGATCGCACAACCTGTTGAGGCTGGTTCACGTGTCCATTGATATTTTAAAGCTGTGGTTCTCAAAGTGTGGTCCCTGGACCAGCCACATCTAGACCAGCACCTGGACCAGCACCACCTAGATGGTGTTAGAAGCACAAATTCTTGGACCCATCCCTTAGCTTGAGTCAGGCCCTCCTGATTCTTGGTTTTGATGTATGATCACATTAGAGAAATGCTACTTCAAAGGCCCCTGGACAGGAGGCTGACAGTTTAATCAAGAGACTGATAGACCCTCTAACAGTGTCAGCTGGGACAGTGGAAAACTACCTGCTAGCTTCAACATGCTCCCAACTTCTGTCTGTGCAGGTGACACAGGGGTAAGAGCCCAGTTTGATGTTATCTCTGGCTTCTCTTGGGCTACAGCTAGTCCATTCAATATTTTCATACATCCTGGAAAATAACACTTTGTCCTCTCTTGTAGCTTAGTGAATGAAGCCTTGGTGGGATTTCAGCCCCCTCTCAAGCCCTCAGCCAGTCACCCTTGTTCAGTGTCCAACTTCCCCAACCTCCCATGGCAGCCTTGGCCGTCCTGTGGCAGAGCGATGCCAGCCAGTGAGAAGGGTGTTCCCTTTGATTTCAAATGTCCCTTTCAAAGGCTCCTTTAATTGACAAGGAAGGAAAGGTCAGGGTGGGTGTGGTGGGCAGGGACCAAGGGGGAGTGGGGATGCGGGGGACAGAGGGCAGGCCTGGAGTCATTTCAAGTCCTCTGTGCAAACACACGTGTGTGCTATGGGCCCATGTTATTTACCCAGGCTGCGCCAACAGCCCGTTCTGGCCCTGGATCCCCACCCCAGCCTGTGCCTACACCCAACCTCCTTGCAGCCCTACCCCCAGAGAGTCCCCCCACCTCCAGCAGCCTAAGCTCATCAGCGCAGCCTGCCTTCTGCCCATCACGTCCCTAGAACCCCGTGCCTGCCACGTTAGGACAGTTCCTGCCAACACCCTGGGCTGCACGCCAGGGAAACGGAAGCTTTTCCAAGAAGTGGGAGAACTTGCTTCCCTTGTGGCCTCCTGCTTGCTTGTCCTCGGCCACCGGGGGGCTGTGACAGGTGCTGGGTTTCAGAGTGGGGTGCCATGAAGGCTTGGTGGGGATGAACAGGAAGGGCTGGTGACAGCGTTTGCCCAGCTGGGGCTTTGATAACCATCTCTGACATGTTTGTCACATCTGTCTCTTCCTGAGGAGAGACACAGTGTGGGGCTTATCTTAGCTTCTGTTTTGTGAATGGACATTAAAGCTCAGAGGGAGGTGGTGGTTGTTGTTGTTGTGTACTGTCATGTTGGGACTGATAGCGGATCATGGCTGATCCTCCAGCGGATTTCCAGAGGCGGTAATTTGCATGGGAGATTGCCCATTTTCCTCCTGCAGAGCAGCTGGTGGATTCGAACCATGTGCCTTCAGGTTGGCAGCGCAACACCTTACCACTAAGCTCTTAGAGCTCCCTAAGTTACCCCAAAAGTACCCAAATCCAGATCTTCTGACCCCTGGCTTAGTGCTTGCTCCCTAAGTTACTCAAATCCAGTTCTTCTGACTTCCAGCGCAGTGCTACTCTACCAGCCTAGAATTCCTGCCTCCTCCTCTACACCCCACACCCCACATTCCAACTCCCCCTCCCCCTGCTCCTAAATGCCAAGGAACCTGCTCTCAATCAAGGCTCAGTCCCAGCTCCAAGATTTCCCCAGTAAAAATGTAGTTAATCATTAACTTGAATGAGGAGGAAAGATCTGAATGTCCACAGGCAGTGTTGGTGGGGGCAGCGCCATCTCTCCCCACAGTCCAGGCCTGGGAACCTTGGTGAGCTGTCGAGGGAATCAGAGCAGTGCACTCAGTCTACCACCCTGGCCTCTCCTTCCAGCCACAGGACCCCATTCACAGGGAAGAGAAAATGGGAAGGTGAGCACCCACTATGTGTCCAGTGCCCCAACCGGGGTATTCACGTACATCACCCCTGGACCACCCACAGTCTGGATGACACAGACTCACTAACCCCATTTTACAGATGTGGAAAGTGAGCCTCAGAGAGCAGCAGCTTGTATTTGAGGTTCCAGCTGGCCAAGTAGTGAGCTGGCACGACCACGGTCCCTCTGCGCCCCCTGCTCTAAGCAGTCCCAGCTTCTCCAGGGCCCAGTCCACCTTTGACCAGGCTCCTTGGTTCTCCCACCTGCCCTGCTGCCCGGCTGCTCCTTCCACCCTCCTGACAAGTTCATCTCCCTCCAACACTTCTGCATTAGAACAACCTCCCGTGACTCCCCACTGCCTGTCCTACCCCATCCCAATGGGTTTCTGAACCCAACTCCTACCCATTCCAGAGAATCGGAGCTATGAGTCATATAAGTGATTAGGAGCTCTGACAGCTTAGTGGTAAAGAGTTACACTGCAAAACTAAAGGTACATGGTTCAAGTCCACCAGCTGCTCTCAGGGAGAAAAATGGGCAATCTCCTCCTGTGTGATTTACAGCCTCTGAAAACCTACTTGGAAGGTTAGCTATGAGCTGGTTCTGACTCAATGACACATAACAGTATATATGATAGCTTTTATAGCTGGAAACCCTGAGGCCCAGAGGTCCCTTCATGAGGGTTGAAAGGGTGTGGACCAGACCCTAGGATGGACATGGTGACCACATATCCACACTAATGAGAATGGAGTTTATCCCCAGCCCCTCACTATGGTCCTAACAAGGCTATTTTTCTCTTATGCTATTTAAGGTGGCCCTTCTCATCATAGTTCAGCTCAAAGCTTTCTTCCCCTGGGAAGCCTTCCTTAACAGCTCTCCCCCTAACATCTCTGCTCACTCCAGTCTTAACCAAGCAATTGAATTCACAACTGTATCCTCAATGGTTGTTCAGGGTGACACACGTGCACTGGGAAAACCAAGGCTCAGAGAGTGGCAGGGACATAGCCTGGGTCACAGAGGAGAACCAGGACCAAGCTAGAGGGAATCTGGCCTTTCAGCCTCTGGTTCCACAAGCCGAGTCCTAAGACAGGCCCACAGTTTGCCCTGTCCTGGTTCCTGGACCGAAGGCCCAGTCAGTCTTCAAGGCAAGTCTCTTCAGGCCAGGCCCAAGGGGCTGCCTGTCTCCTGAGTGATGCCCTCAGCTCTCAAACCCCGAGATCTTCTCTGGATTAAGCCACATGTCTGGATTAATCCAGGCTCCCTCCTGCCCTGGCAGCTCTGGCTCCTATTCCAGACAAAGAAAGTTTGGTAACAGCTGGTGGAGGCTGAGGCCCAAAGACAGGGCCACATCAGTGGAGCGGCAGCCAGAGGGATTAACTACCTCTGACCCCTTCTCTCCACACCTGCCATGAAGCAGATGACAGCAGAGTCCAAAGACAGAGTTTGCAAGCAGCTGTTTCTTGCACCGTCCTTATTTCCACCTCAGGAAATGAGCCTGTGGGGCTCCCCTTTCTTCTGGGCTCTCCCTGGCACCAACGAACCATTCCTGGAGACCTTCTGAAACCACACCTTCAGGGAACGAGTCACCAGGAGCCCTTTACAAAGCCTGGGGCTGTCTTGGGGGTTAGAGTCATCTGCCATACCTTCCCCCTCAGCCTCTTAGGTGGAACCTGTGTTACATCCTATTGAGATGGAATCAGCTCACAGCTGACTCTAGCAGGTTCTCAGAGGCAGTTAATCTCCTGAGAGGAGAATGCCTATCTTTCTCCTGTGGAGCAGCTGGTGGGTTCGAATCGTGTGCCTTTGGGTTGACAGTATAGCTTCTGTCACTAAGCCAGC